ATCGAATCTAAAGGAAAGAAAAATAATCTTTCCTTCCCTTTTCACATTTTACGCATTAGGATATGCAGTTGGGCCAGGGTAATGTTTGAGCTTTTATTTCAATCAAGTTAAAAAGACGAGCATTGCTGTGCATCAGAAGCACAGTGAGTTAAGAATGAAAGTGCAGTACTGTTACTGTTTATCTATTTCGGAGAATGCCCAAATCCAGATGGATCAAGGGTTATTCAAAGAGAAAATGTTACAATGTCACAAATTCAAGCACTTGAATCTTTTTTGTTCAACTTTTGCATTCTACTGTTGAAAAGAAACCAAAAGCAACGGTAGTATTAGCATAATCAATAAAAATAGTTCTAGTGACTATGATATAAGAGCCACTGTCCAAAAAAGTCTTTCTTTTGACTTCAATGTTGACATGGGCGTTGTAAACCCTTAAAATTTGGCCTAGGTTTTGTCATGCATTAGAGTTACTTCTACCCCCAAAAAAATTTATTTTCCTCTTCAAATTTTTTATCAATAGTAATTTTTAATTTTTACCATGTTTGCCTAAGTTTATAATGGAATTAATGAAAAAGTTTTTATCTATTGATTGGGTAACTTTCCAATTTTTATCACGCGCAACTCAATGATTTTTTTAGGGTAAATTTTCAAAGTTCAGTTTTTCAAGCTAATTAGTTTTTGTGGGAAAAATGTAGTTTTAAATCAGAAACTTGGCAAGTTTCTCTTTTTTGGCCCATTTAGCAAGCTGCTGAGATTTTCCAGATACAAAGTTACCAGTCTCGTATCATGTGCTGGCTGGTAAATGTTCAGTTCTCTTACTATCAATCGCTAACAAATATATTTTGGCATTGAAATGCACCTTCTGGAGGATTAAAAAGATCTTTAAACATGTCTCTGCTTTCTTGCATCGGTTTTTATTCCTCCCAGCTACTGCCGGACAGTACCCAGTATATTTCCAGCTTCTTTTTCCATCAACTCGGTATGAAGTCTGCTACCCTGTCTTCAGAATCAGTGAAACCTGAGGGCAATAGCTTCGTTCATGCCTGGGCAAGTTGTCTTGTTAAAGTTCAGGAACTTTTAGAGACCTTGGACCTGGGGGGGGTATATGGGAGTGTTACCCACAACCCAAATTCTGTCGCTCAGCAATAATTCAGGTAAAACGTATCTATATCCAAGAAAAATTTGAATCAGGAAAACTAAGAAGCAAACAAACGGTTTCCTTTTCTACGTGGCACAAAAAAGGTCGAAGAGTTTACAGTCAGACAGGCAATAGGTTTAAGATAATCATCGACAGGGGCATTTTTGCTGTGAATGGAAACTGCCGAACCGTCTATAGCTGTTATTTACATTAAGGGACCTAACACGATGACACCTATGACAGAAATTTCAAAGAACGCTCTAGCAACGTATCGTGCGAGACTATCTTCGAACAGAAAAATGAGCGGTAAGTTCTGGATTGATTTGAGAGTCACTAATTTTGACGTTTAAAGAAAGTTTGAAACAAGAAGAATTTCATATGGATTTTATAAAAACACTTTTTGTTTGCACTTGCAGATCCTTAAGTCACCAAAAGAAGTTGAACGGTCAATTCCTCATTGCAACCAAAAAAAGAAACAAATTCAATGCTAACTATCATTATCAGTTGCAACACAAACATGTGATTCTGACGTTTGGGAATATTGATTAATCTAAAATATTACTCAGTTTTCGGAGGGGTTACGACAGTGGTACGAAGCCGTAGCAAGTTAAATACAACATAAATTAATTTGATAAAATCAAAATGATGTAAGAGGATAACTTAGATCTTAGTTCAAATAAGAGGCAAAGAAGAGAATTTGTACTATCACAAATCACTTACTTCATTTTATTAATACATATGTATACAGTGGTGATCCCTTATGCCGTGCATCTATTTTATTGCTGTTTCCAGTACAAACCCTTACTTACACTTTTTAGACAACAACAAGCAATAAAGGCACGCAGATCCTTTCTGAATTAGCAGGAGGACAATAAGCAGGAAACGCAAGTTGCTAAATCTCATTTATCTGATACATGCAAATTAAAGCCCGCATAAAGACTAGAGGATGTCTTCCAGATTATCTTCATTGAGAAAAATGACCTTGCTTACCAAAAAAGGATCTGCAGGATACTTTAGATGTAGAACCGGTAGATGCATCATTGACTTGCTTGGGAAAGTTGAGGTGGGTTTCTGAAACCATGCCAGGTTTAGTGAGCAAAACTACTAGTGAAACTCAACTTGATACAAGGAGTGCATATAAAGAGCTGTTTGATTCCTGCTATTACATAATGATGATACAAAAGGAAACCAGAGAGTTAGCCAAATCAGAATGAAATGTCATGAAGAAAAAATTTGTCGAAGACCTCTAACATTAAGAATAGAGAGTAAAGAAAGATATGGCGTTTTGCTTTGCATGTAAAGGAGGATAAGGCATTTTCCTATGCATGTAAAGGAGGTTAAGGCGTTTTTCTATGCATGTGAAATATTTGGCAAAGCCAGGTTTGAAAGAAAAAGATTAGAACTGGCCTTGATAGAGACAAACAAACAGTGGTCCAAAATGAGAGGCAGTCATGGAACGAGCAAATTAGGCAAACCTGAGACTCAGTTTAGCTGCATAGCTTACCTGGTAGCCCTTGAAGACTTTGAAAACTTTGTACTTGAGGATAGCCACGTAGATCTTCTTTTTCAAGCTTCATCGAAGACGTTATGACCATGCTGTTTGATGTGGCTAAATCTTGCTTTTCATAAAAATGATGATTATGAAAGTGAACGCTTTCGACAGATTGTTTATCTGCTAGATTTACATTACTCTTTCATGCAATCTTGACGGAATATGTCACCCTTTTGGGAGAGGAAGTGCAGGGACGGTGCTAGAAAACATTCTTAGGGAGATGTCAAGTGTCAGGTTGCTGAGTAGGAGATTTTTCAATTTGATAATATGAAGACACAAAATAGAAAGTCGAAAGTAGAAGAAACCTTCTCCCCCGTTTTCTAACTATTGACTTTGTGATTCTTAAAAAAGTTCCTACTGTTAGTGTGAATAAAAGTGTTAATTGTTGCATTTTTTTGAAAGCCCTTAATAATAATATATCATTTTGAATAAGATCTTGTGATTATGCAGTAATAGCAGGCTAAAGCAACATAACACTAAATGAATTAAGCATTTGCTCATATACTTTCGTTTAACAACATAATAACCTCATCGATGAAATAGTAAATAGACACAGGCACTCAAGGCCAGCCAAAAAGAGATATTGGAATATGCTTTTATTCAAGAAGCTTTTTTGATAAAACAATTCTTTCTTCAGTCAATTATTAAACAGATAAGGAATTATTTCTTCTTAGATAGGTTTTGTTGATGGTAGCTCGTACAGAGCTTTACCTTAGGCAGCACCATGGTTGCCGTTGAAAGTTGTGAAAATTATAATGCTTCCATTTTGTAGAAAAATGCGCTTATTGAAGCAATTTCTACTAGCTTACAACTCACCCTTGTAATTAGAATCGATATCCGCAGGTTGAATGAATTTTATTCCCTCTGGTTTCTTTTAGCTAATTAACAGTTGAAATGTCAACGAGCTGAGGAGAGAAGAGAAGTAAATCGAAAGGAAAATGAAGACAATCAAATAAACCATCGACTAATTTTGACTCTTTAATTTATGCCTCCATCAAGTTTGTCGAGCAAACACTAAAAATGCCGAATCTGCCGAGTAAAGAACCGTGCAAGATAGGCCCTCTCTTTTGATAAAACTTCATGCTAATAGGAGCAACAAGACGCAATAAATGCAGAGATCAATCATTTATGAAAAGCAACTTCTTTGTCGGCAAACTCTGTTTCTGTAAAATTATGAGGATAAGTACAAATACATATATTTACAAAATCCCTTTGTAATACATGTAATTGATAAGTTTTCACACTTTCATAATAAATTCTCTATTAAAAGCATGGACTGTGTTAAAAAATGTTTTGCAACTTCAGGTTTGATCTAGAATGAGTTAAAGGCAAGTTATTTTGGTAGGATGTACATTTGCATTGGTAGGCTTTATCATTTTTTTACCGTGGGTTAACACATATCTAACCCTTCAAACAACAGGTGAGCTCCTATACGATTTGCTATTCTGAAAATGTGTTTCATTATAGTATTATACAATTCCCTGCAATAGTATCAAATGTACAGTTTATGTTAGTATCATACACAAAAAGAGGATAACCGAATGCTTTCTTCTTAATTTTAGAGGTTATCAAAGTCGGAATTCTGACTCAATTTCGTTTGAAAGAAGGATGGCCAGCAAAGTACCAGTGGTGCACAAATGCACCTAAAATACACCTTTTGCAATTGAGAATTGCTGACGTGATGGCTTTGATTGGCTACACATTACCATATTTAGTTACAAATGGACTTTACTAAAGAATTGTTGGTCCAAAAAAGCAGGTACTACTATCTTATAATACCTTTTTTAAACACAAAATGCTGTTAATGTAGTGAATTAGTTCATGAAAAAGTTTAGCAGCCACAGAATTTATTCAAAATAACACGTAAGCTATCAACTGCCAACTTAAACAAAGCTAAAAATTGTGAAGAGTTTGTCCTATCTAATGGTAATAGTCTGTTGATAATTAATATATTTGAGAGTATATTGAAAATCTTGCTTTATCTTTGTATGAATGCAATTTTAACTGAAACTATGCAAGATACTGAAACCAAAATTTCACAGTTTATTCTTTAAGATACGGCAAGTTCAAATATGGTCAGCAATTGTGAAAATAATATTTCGTTCATGTTTTATTCACAATTGAAATGTTAGTTTCCACTTTGCAGCTTAATATATTTCCTTAATAATATACAGTACTTAAGTACAGAATCATGCTTTCTTGACAATTGAAGGTAGCCTGAAAAGTCGTCTGTTCTCAAAAGACGTTAGTATAATGTTTATATTAAAAGCATCCAAGAAGCTGCTTGGGCGTTAAAAGATGCAACTAGTGAATACCTGAACAGATTCAATTGGAGTAAAACAAGAAATCAAATTGCTGCGTTTTTAAATTCAGCCATAAATTATATCAGCTCATATAACAGTTGTAATTTTCGCGACAGTGAAGAAATTATGGAGAGGCAAGAAAGCTGGAGCCTGACGTGGTATTAGGATTAAGGTCGATAACAAAAGTATAAGAAGTAGCTATTCATAAAAGATCCGTACAAGAGTTAAAGCACATAGATTGTCAATTAAATAAACTGTATATATCGCCTGACGCTTTTGAATACTCATTTGTTTGCTTTGATATAGGTTGTCACACAAGCGAAGTTTGAATATAAATTATTTAATGAAACGTCATGAAAATTATAGCTTTAGAGTTTCAAATTTTAGTGTAATGACCTAGCATAGCACAAAAATACATTTGAATTTTCCTAATGAATGTAGTAGGAATCTAATGAGAATAAACAAACGTAAAGCGATAAAAGCTTTAAAAGAAAGAACATAAAATAGCACTGGTGTCAGCACGTAGCCAAATCCCTTTTCCTAGCAAAATTACCATATATTTCGTCCCTCTCTCTAAGTCAATCTCCCTAGTGCTGACAGCAGTGCTTCTCTAGGCCTACTGGAGATAATATTTTTGTTAAACGTGGATAAGAAAAACAACTTGATCTATTCATAAGACATTCAGAGAATTCATCCCAGTTTTTGACAAAGCCTTTTGTATTTCTGAAAAGCATCATTTCCCATCTAATCAACATTTCATTTTTAATTGTGCACTAAACACTTGTCTGGAAAAGTTGGCTTGGAGACGTTCCAGCTAGGGTAGTCTTTGACAGCGCATTCACAAGCTGCGTCCAAGTTTTGGACAAGACCCCCTGTATTTCGGAAACGTAACCTCTCCCGCTCGATCGACATTCTGGCTCGAATTCTCTACTAAAACCGATGTAGAAAAATTTGTTTTGGTAAAGTTCCTTGTCTGTTGACCATTGTTAGCTCATTCACAGGGTGTTTCCCCGTTTATGGACAAAACGCCAGTGTCACAGAAAAGCGTCCTCTCCCGCCCGATCAATATCCAGATTCGGATCTACTACTGGTTTAGAATGAGTTGGTTCGGTAAAGTTCTTCCTCGGTCGGCAATGCTCCCTCTTGTGCCTCTGGACTAAAATAGTTGGTAGGGCTCTCCGTTTCGACTGAATCAAGGTGTGGATAGGAACATCATGGAAAAGTCAAACCTATCCTGTCACACAGTTATGAAATTTTGAACATATATCACAGGTCTTTCTCAAGGAAAAAACACATTTTGACTGTTGGTATTCATAGATATCAATAAAAACTTAATCACGACCCGGTCTCAAGTTCATACCTCAAAAATGGTACCCAGCTAGACAGCAAAACATAGAATAATGTCACACAGTCACAACAATGAGCTTTGGAAAAAAGAAACCAAAATCGCCAAGAAATTATTTTCTGCATTTGATTAGTTTTTTGTTCCATGTTAACTTTGTGGTATTTTCCATTCTATTGAAATGACAAAGGCATCTTATCTAAGCCACAGATTTGCAGGATGAATCGAAAAACTCGACGCCGTCACTTAACATTGAGACGGGAACAAATATAAAACTATGCTAACTTCCTTCGGGAATGGTAGACCAAAGGGACCTATGGTAACAAAACCATAACCAAACATGAAACTCTTTCAGATTGTTTTATTCTAAATTTGATTCTGCGTAAAACCTGTTAAAGGATTTTGATGGAAAGGGTATTGCCTCCCTTCTCTTTGTATATCTATTTGGGAGAGGTGGTGGGAAAGGGAGATGGAAGGTGCGAATTCTGCTGATATTAGACTCAGGAATATCATTTGTCAAATTTGACAGTTTAAAACGAAACATTTGAAATGAAACTTTGGCTGTTAATTAGATTGATTCTTTTGCTTTTCATCTACTAAAAACCACATTATTAGAAAGGCAATGAAGCAAAGTTATCCATGAAATATCCAGGGAAATCCGGGAGGGCAATATTTCTCATCTGGTTTGATATACAAAGAACTGTTAAAAGCAGGCTTGTTCCGATGTGGTGAGTTTTGAGATTGACCTGAAGGCCAAAATAGAATAGCAAAACAGCCAAAATAAAACATTAATCGTAAGTGGTTACTCAGTACTTATAATTTCTGTAATTTTGCAAACCTCCAGTCACTTTATCGCTGTGCTGTTTTTTTCCGTTTGTTGTTAAAACATTAATTCGTTTCTTAAAGACTGTCTAACAGGAAAAAGTTGTTTCTTGATTGCAGTGAGGCTAGAACGTCAGAAATTACTGTTGTTTGATTTTGCTTAAGAGTGTATTCGAAATTGGATCAGGAATGGGACGAGCGAAAGAGATCGGTAAAAGATGGGCAAAAGAAAGATATTCCTAATAACTCCGGTAATCTGCTAGTTTTAGTCAGCGTACTGGGAATTTCTTTTTAATTCCCACAAACCATGGCTGACGAATTATTACATGTTAAGGAGCTTCAATGCAATCATCTAAACTTTCCAAAAGTCGACATTACTTTTATGAGGGGGGAATAATTCAAGCCTACAGCAATTTGTGATTATCATAAAAATTTTGGAATGGCAATTTCGGAAAATACTAGTTCAAGAAAATTTGTCAGCAGATTTGTAGAATAAAAGTAGTACGAAACTTGTCATGACTATTTGATATTTGTGCAATTGAAACATTTTTTTTTCAAATATTTTTCCATTATCTATTCAGTTCCAGTGTCGTATTCAGTTCTCTGAAACACTTTGGCTATCGTTTTGATGGAATGAATATCTCTTTCAACAGGTTACATTGCACCAGCCGAATGCAGTTGACTAAACAAGACAGACAAAGAGAAAGAATTTTTTATCATGGAGGAAGAGCCTTTAATGAACAAAAATGAAAGGTGCACGGAGAGAAGGAATTTTTTTTATTAAATTCGCTCATTGACAACATTTTTCTTGATTGAAAAAGCACTATTACATTGATTGACAATTCAACTGACACTCAATATCATTGGTTTGTGTATGAAAGGAAAAAAGCCATTGTAGCGGAAAGGTTTCAAATTTTTTCAATACGGATTTTTTTCCTTGCTTTGCAATGTCAGTCATCTCTGTAGAAATAAATTTCATGGGATTTTTACTTGAATTTTTTAATTATGATGAAGTATTCTCATTATTGATGATATAAAAAGATTTTAAATGGTCTGTTTAAGAATAAGCAACTGGTTTTTCTTACCATGTAAGTCTTCTGGTTATTCACTTTTTAAGAAACGCCTCTTAATTCTTTAAGGTTGAAGTTCAGTTTTAGTTGGCAGTTATAAAAAATGATCGTTAATCTTAAGATTTATGTTCCAATAACATTGGTATTACTTGATATTTCACATTTCTAAACATAGTAAAAAGGCATTTTTCATACGTAATCTATTACATGCTGTCCCAAAAGGTGCTAGTTAATCTTGGCATCATATCTTAAAAATTCTACTTGATCTTCAGACATTTACATGATGAATCCCGGTTAAGCGAGATATCTAGCAATGAAGATGTTGAGATGCCTGAAGATCACAAGCTAAGACAAAGGTCAATGCGTGTCATCTACTTGATTTCCTTCTTTGGTGCAATAGGTGAGAGAATTTGAGCCATTCAACTAATGTTTCTGAAACTTTGAATAAGCATTTTAAACAAAGCTTTACTTTCAATGGAACATTGCAAATTGCTTACTCTTTTTCCCACTTTCATTCCGACGCTGAAAATACGATAACATTTTATCAGTAATATTTTAAAAACCATGATTTCTTTTATGCTGTTACTTGAAAATGCTTTAAATGTCGAAAAGAAAGAAATAAATTTACTGAAACAAAATTTCCAAAATTTTACTCTTTGCAGCGTATACAATTACAATGCCATCACTCTGGCCCTATATGAAAAAGGTATGGTTAAAATTATACTTATTTAAGATGAGCACAATCTTTTCAAAAGTCAAAGGATATAACCTGAAGATTTTTATCTTTGGCATTGAAACTTCTGAATTCGAGCAAATCTTTGCAATAATTCATTAATTGCAAAAAAAATGTTTTCGAATTATTGATATTCAGTATCGTTCTTATCAGTGTATAAGTTCAAGAGGAAACATACTTTTGCAGAAAACACCTTGTTCTTTGTCTTTGCTACTTTGCCTCAAGTCGTATACATTTTTGTACGTTTACATTTGTTTCTTGTTCATCCCCTCTTTTAGCTTGATCAGCTGGTGAAACCATGGTATCTTGGTATTGCCAATGGTGGCTATAATCTCGGGCATTTAATTGGTGTGTTTACTTTTAGTGCATGGCATCGCACCTATGGAGCCCGCGCGCCTCTTCTTGCCTGCATCCTGATCAAATTCTCTGGAGATTGTTTGCATGTTCTTGCAGCAGCATTTCCTGGAAGCAATGGACTAGCAATGCTTATAGCGGCACGATTTGTAACTGGTTTGTCTAATGGTGCGAAAGTTTTGCATTTCTAACACTTCAAAAACAATTTCCATTTAAACGTATTCTATTTGCATTGGTTTCTACCAAGCTTTCAAAGGTAGTTTTCACGACATGGGGACAAGCTGCTTACCGAGCAGTATCTTAGTACTTTCCTCAAGTAGGAGAGAGCTTTCGACTGTGAAAGTTGTTTGTGTCCATAACACTCTTGGGTCTGTTGTCTACATCAAAAAGGCATAGTCACGCTTCACTAAGCCAGAATGACTTTATACGGCTTTTCTCTAGTGTGTTGAAGCAAATTTTTTTCCAAAAAAGACGAACATAGCTATTGATTATTCATTATCTGTAAACTCAATTATCAAATTACAGAGACTATTCATTGTATTCTATTCCATAAATATTTTGCATAACCCATATCAAACTGAAAGGTGCCTATATCCTTTTAAAATTCTTATACTATTTTCTCTAGTAAATAGTGTCATTATTTTATTACTAGGTCAAGCTGTTGTCTGTCGCACTGTCTTGGCACATTCATCAACTTTGAAGGAAAAAAAGATTATCTTTGCTTCCCTTTTCACAGTTTACGCATTTGGATATGCAGTTGGGCCAGGTAAATTTTTAGTCTTTATTTCAACTAAGTTAAAAGGACGAGCTTTGTTATGTATCACAAGCAAAGTAAGTTTAAAATGAAAAGACAGTGCTGCTTATCCATTACAGAAAATGCACAAAATTTTGATGGATTGAAGAGATTACAGCCCTGTTTACACTAAAACTTTCAACCTGGGTTGAACCTTGGTTAACATTAACCTGGGTTAGAAATTTTGTAGTGTAAATGCAGCTAACCTGGGTTGAACCTGGGTAAAGTCAACCCCACTCTGGAGGTGGGTTGAGCCTAGGTTGACCCCAGGATAAGAGCTTCGAAATGCAGTGTAAATGCAAACCTGGGTTGAACCCAGGTTAACGATCTAATTCGCGCATGCGCCTTTTGAAACATGAATGGCGCTAAACACAAAGTCAAAACAAATTCATTGAGAACGCTCGTGCAAAACGGTCTTTCAAATTAAAGCAGCATATCTTGAAGATGAATGAAACAAGAGTTGAAAGAGGTAAACTATGGGGCGACGATGAAGTCATGTCGTTAATCGAAATGTGGGCGGACGAAGACATCCAGCAACAGCTAGATTCATGTACCAGAAAGCGTCCTTCACAACGAAGCCCATGCGTGACGAATCTAACCTGGGATCAACCCAATTTTGCGTTTACACTAGACTATGTTGCAAATTTAGTGTAAACGAAAGTTGGTTCAACCTGGGTTTAACCCAGGTTAGCGTTAACCCAGGTTAAAAGTTGAAGTATAAACAGGGCTTAATTTTAGCGTACAGGAAACACTTGACACTTTGAGCAGAACCATCTAAGATAATTGCTGAAACTTTTTTCGAAAGCTGAAAAATAGACTTCCGTAAAACGCGGAGAAAGATGAGCATAATCATTTCTCAAAAAGTTGCTACATTCACACTCACCCAGCTAAGTTGAGGAGTGTCATAGCGTTGACCAATATGGTTAGCATTTGATTTGCTTCAGCCATGCGCACACGTTTTTCCAGCTACGCATCACAGCATGTTAAAAGTAAATGCGTTCAAAGCTTATAGAACGAGTACACCCTGAAACAAAAACAAGGAGCTTTTCTTAATGGCTATTAGAAAACTTTGTTCCTTGTAGCAAGAAAAAAATCCCTAGAACTTATTCATATTTTACTTATTCGACGCTAAAAAATTTGGCTGATCTGATAAAAAGAAATGATCATATAAACAATTGGTATTTTTAAGTTTACTTATAATAGGTAAAAACTATAAGTTTTATGTAAGTGAAGTATAACCTAACAGTACAATTTTAGTACAGTGCAAGTAGCACTACAAGATTAGGATGTTATAATTATCAGTGAATTTTTTAGTTTTATATAAGTTATAAGTATTATTTTGTTATTTTTTTATTAATTTTTTATTATAATTTCATATTAATTTTATACTGTAGCAGGCTTTCGTGAAACTCAATTTTAACCAATGAAAGTAGAGGTAGAATGGTCACAACCAATCAGGTCAAGGAAATCTTGATTGATGTCAGCATTTTATTTGCAGTTTCAAAAAACGTACAAGCAAATGCAATCTGTATTGACACACTGCCTTTAAAATATGACCTCTACAATACTAATGGATTAAAGAATCACCAACGTAGAAAACAATAGAACAAAAATTTGATCAAGAGTAACTCGTTTTCTATAGTGGCAGAAAGCATGTACTTCTGGAAGTATTTTTCTTAATCAATGAATGGAAATATTTGCTAAGGCAAAGCAAATAGATCATGTCATCTCACACTTTTCAGTGTATATAAAACGTCAGAACAAAGACCGAAAGACTTAATTATCCTCGTGAACGGTATGCTGCAAGTACTCGTACTTTGAACCTCTATTCCAGAAAATTTTTGATATTGAAATTAGACGCATGAATTCTTTATCGATTTTTTAAAAACTGCCTCGTCGGTGTTAGATTCAGCTATGTAGGGCCTATTTACTGCTCTTCCAGGAAGTCGTGTTTTGATTAAACTTCAGCTCTTGAAGTATGATTTTAATATTCTCTTGAACTGCGGAAGACTTAGCAATTCAATGATTGAGATACGGATGCTGTTCCACGCAGTGAGACCTGAATAGTGAAAGCTTCGGTCTTGTAGATTTTGCAGGAACTTTATTTTAGAACTAGTAATAATTCCCAAAATTACATTTGCATGGCGCAAGCGACATTTCTAAAGGTCCGATGTATATCATCTAGCTGTTTTTGAGGCAGAAGGTTTTTCAGTTTTTTTAAGAGATGAAAGATCTCCACGAACCTTCTCTTTAACAATTTTAAAGTGTTGTTTCCAGTTCAAACCTCCTTCCACTATTAAACCAAGTGATTTTGTTTGCTTTACGCTCTTTTTTCTGAGTTGTTTACTATAAGCAGTTCAGAAACATCCTTTTGATGACTTTTCGAGGATGATCATTAAAATTTATTCAGTTTTCTTAGGATTGATAGTCAGTTTTTTAATATTTTTTCATTATGAAATCTTGAGAAGCTCTCTTTCCGCATTCTGAAATAGATTTTGGAAATCATAAGATGTTATCGTAAAATGTATATCATCCACGTACATGCTGGCTTTGGATTGCTCTAGACATAATTCGAAATCATTCAGGTAGATTATGAACAGGAGTGGACCAAGACACGATCCCTGAGGAATGCCACAATTTACAGTTCTAGCCTGTTTACTGTACAAAGCTGTATCCTATTTTGGAAATATGATGTAAACCAGTCGCCAGTTGTTCCTCTTACACCATGTTTCCCTAGTTTGCTATTGACATGGTGTGGTGGACTGCATCAAATGCTCTTTTAAGGTTGAGAAAAATAGCTAGATTCACTCCTTTTTTGTCCATGGTGAGTACCAGGAGTCAGTACTGTTTATCAGGGATGATAGTGTTGAATACATTTTGCGAAAAGCAGCTTGGTTTTTTGTAAGTATGGGTTGAAACAAAAGTTGGTCATGCACAGTCTTTTCCAAAATTCTGGAAAAAATTAGTATTGACAGAAATCGGCATTTACTTGTTTGCAACATTTTTTGGATCAGATTTGAAAATTTGAGTGAAATTAAAAGGTTAATAGCGGTTTCTTTATTTTAATTATATTGTAACTATATCTTTTGTCAGAGAGCTCCTTGAAAATCAACTTTTGAAGGGCAACCCTCCTTAAAAAAATTTAATATGAAATATGAGTTATCAACGAAAGCCGATTCGTTGTGGGAAAACTCTGTTTCGGTAAAACTCAAGAATGTCAAATTTCACGACACATTTTAACTATATTTGCTTATCACACACATCTTTTATAACGAAAACAATGTAAGCTTGAATTTCGTCTAGAACAATTCGAATTCAGGAAGAAAAATCATTTTATAAAAACAAACATATGTGTACATAAATTTTGCAACGGGATATGGGAGTGACCTGATTTGATTTGGAACAGCATTTTATACAATAAGCATGTTTAAAGGTAATGTGTCCAGCTAAAGCAAGCAACTCTGCGAGGGTTTTTAGAAACATGTGATTTTTCATGTCATCGCCCTAGCCACTACGATCGTTTTGTTTATCGATACTGCTGCGAGGTTAGCTTTTCATGTTAGCAGTTTTGCATCGCAAGAATACTAACCAATCTGAAACCGTTATTTTGATGGGTAGCTTGACAAGTTGGGTATACGCAGTCCTTTTATATGGACACATTACCTTTAACATTCATATGCTCTTAAAATTCAATAATGATGAATTTTCTGTTTCAGGGCTACAAGCTGTTCTGGCATTCATTCTCAAAAAAGAATATCGTCATTCGTTTATCATCCTAGACGCCTTCAACGCTCCTGGCTGGCTCGGAATGGTTTTGCAAATTATCAGTTTCAGCTCTGTATTGATTTTATTTAAAGAGTACAACTTAACCAGCGACAACGAGACGAAAACAGGCTAGTAAGAGAAGAAATCATGTTTAATTATTTACTTAGTATCAATTGTTAAGTTTTCTGGATTTATCGTAATGACTGCTTTACTAAAAACAAATATTAAAATAGCATATTTTCCCCTAAATTTCAATGATAGTGATTCTGATTTTATTACTAGATCATCATCAATCATCATTAGATTACTATAATTATCTTTAAAATGGCTTTGAAAAAGCAAGCACTTGAGTACACTGAAGCTTCTCATCTGACACTCTGCAAGGTTTCAAAGGTCTGGACACAGACCGAAATCTCTGAGCTAGGAAATATACTCAGTTGTGGATCGAAATATGCCAATCAGAAACGCGTGCACATGATGGTTAAGGTTGCCCAATCAGTGCCGCTTGCCTGTTGGACGTGTCATGGGATGACGCTGACCAATTATGGTTAGCATTTTAGGCAGCTATGCGCACGCAGCAAGTTTTTTTCAGCCACGCGTCCCTTAGCGTAAATGTTAAACAAATTTAACTTTGATCTCAGTGAGGCTTCAGAACAATAGAAAACTAGGAGAATAATGACAGCCAGAAACATAAACAAGAAGCTTCTGAAATAGACCATTATAATTCTGTGTAGCTTGTACAATGAAGTATATTTTAAGGAGTCTCTCTGAATAAAGCATAAGGAAACGAAGTTAAGACAGCAACAAAAACAAATTACATTTATTAGTTTATCATAAGTAACAGTACTATTCGTTTTTGAGTCTCTGTCTTTAAAGTTTTGCAGTCGATTTTCAATTCAACAATGAAGTTCAGTCATTGTATTCTCCGTTCTTGTAAAAAGTATTTCAATCATTCCCGTTAAGCTTTCAATACCTTCCAAAGGTGTACTGGCGAGGGATTTAATTCATGTAAATATGAGGAGCATTCATAAAATTAAAATGTGTAATTTTAAAATGTGGAATTTCAACAGGAAGAAAAACCCCATGAATTCGTAAAACCAGACATTTAACTATTTGTAGTAAACCTTTCAAATCTTTGATATCCATAAAGGTTTGGGTTCTCTAATGGATGCTTGAAGAGAACCTCTTCCTGTCAAAACATAGGCCAACCAATCGAATCGAATTGTCGAAGAAACCTCACGACACTAATTGAAGTACACAGGATGTTTCATTTCTTTGGCCAAGATGCTGTTTTTGATATATTAGCTTCAGATTACCGTTTCATCCGCTTCTGTAGCAAACTCAAATTTCCAACTTGATTTTGCAATGCAAAGAAATTACAACATGTCGATTATTTTGCAAGTTTGCTGTTAACAGCAATGGAGAAAGGATGACGCGCCACTAGATGACGCATCGTGTGTGAAAAGCATGAAGAAAAGCAGGACTTGACGCTTGGTGACGCTAGATGACGCGCCGCACCGTTACTGGTCCAGTGTGAATTCAGCTTTAGTTGAAAACTAACTCCTTTTATCTATACAAAAGCGGGTCTTTTCATGTTTATGTAAGTAGGTTCCAAAACTTTGCCAATAATCCGAAACATGTCGCCATTATAAATTTGTTCACAATCTGGTTTTTCCAGTAAATACTGCCCCGGAATCTCATGTCTTGTTAGTTTTTTTTATCATAGAAAATCGGTATTGTGTGGACAGAAGGAGTTCGTTTTCACCTTAGGACTTCGCTGGTAATAATTTCAATACGCAAGTGGCACTGCTTGGGCAATCTCAACAGTCATGCTTGCGTTTCTGATTGGCCTATTTCGATCCACAACTGGGTATATATATTTGATAACGTAGAGTTTTCGGTCTGTGTTCTGACGTTTTATACCCCGGCGAGTCTCAGACGAAACTGTTACTCAAATGTTTGCTTTTGTCAAAAACACTTTTATCACCACAAAAAAATATAGTCAATAAAAATCTTCTTAACAATTCAAACAATTCAAAAATTGACTCTTCGCTTCATTCTTTCTTTTAGGTGACTTGCCAAAACCAGACACTTTTGCTCTGATTTTGGTTGCAATTTCCAATTTTGTCGTCTACATAGTCTTTTCAGCAGTTGAAACGTAAGGAAGCATTATCAGTTCCTGAATTTGAAATGGCGTTTCATAATAACCTTTCTTCTCTTCGAGCTTACCTTCTGTTCTTTTCTGCAATGATAGACTATTCAACCTTAGAATTCTGATTATTGAAATGGAAACACATAAATAAGCATATAAAATTACTTATTATATGACTACACCTAAAAAAATGCGATACGCACTTATGTCGGCTAAAGGCAATACCGTACCTTTCTGAAAAGCTTTGGATTCGCACAGGTTGCTCAACCACTTTTTCAGTGCAAGCTTCGTGCCTGTACGTAACTATCCTTAAAATTGTGCATTTTTTGGGAATAAAGCCAGGCCACTATACTAGATCAAATCCTCCATCAATGATACATTGCATTTGTTTTTGCACCTCAATTATTCTCGTTGAAAGTGTACCCTGATTACTATGTGCACTTAACAAGGGATATAAATACTAAGCATGCACATTTTCACGACATTGTGTCAATGGTCAGATAGGTTTTTCAAGTTCTATAAAGTTCCTGAAGCATGCAGCAAATGTACCGCCTATTTAAAACTTTTTACGTTTGAATAAATTTATTGCAAATGCTCCTTTGACTTTTTCTGGAAACTTCAGCACTGATGACAAAAATTAAACTTTTTGTTGCTCATTTTACCCTTCAGGCTGACAGCTCCGCTGATGGCAGATGAACTAGCAATGACAAAACGCGCGGCAGTTTTAAACGCTGGCATCCTGTTATCTTCCCTTGGACCTATTGCAATTATATCACTTGCTTTTGTCACGTGCTCATCTAAAAGGTAACGCTCTAGTACTTATTTATAGACAAATTTATATTTACATTTACAAGTTGAAATTTACCAACCTATTTCTTGGTCTTTTATCAATGAAGAAGAGAAAATCCATTGTTTATTATAAAAAAAGAATCTGCATTACATTCCTAACTTGCGAGATTTAAGGTAAACTTGTGAGAAAATTGGAAAACTACTTTTGACAATCTAAATAACACAGAAAGTACAAATAAATATCTTTATAACTTTTCTATTTAATGCATGTAATGAGGAAGTTTTCACGCCTTCAAATTAGATCCTGAATAACATCTTATCGAAAGTTCTAAATAATTGTTTTGCGACTTGTGCTTTGATCTAGAATGAGTGAAAGGCAAGTGATTTTGGTAGGATATACAATTGCATTGGTAGGCTTTATCATTTTTTTACCGTGGGGAAAAACATATCCAACTCTCCAAACAACAGGTGAGCTCCGATGCGATTTCCTTTTCTAATCGTGAATTTTCCTACCATCATTCCTCAAATTCCAGCAATAGTATTAAATGTCTGTATTATACAGAAAAACAAGATAACCGAATGCTATCTTCTCAATTTTAGAGTACATCAAAGTTGGTAATCTGACCCGATTTCGTTTGAAAGAAGGTTGTCCAGCAAAGTACCAGTGGTGCACAAATGCACCTAAAATACACCTTGGGCAATTGATAATTGCTGAAGTGATGGCTTTGATTGGCTACACATTACCATATTTAGTTACATTTGGACTTTACTCAAAAATTGTTGGTCCAAGAAAGCAGGTACTACCTTACAAAACCTTTTTTGAACAAAAATCGTTGCTAATGTGGTGAGTCAGTTCAGGCAAAAGATCTCTTTCAAAAAACATATAATCTTTCAACTGCCCAATTTAATTAAAGATAAACATCGTGAAAACTTCTCCTATCTACAGTTACTATAAAAGAAGTATATCTATAATTGATATATAGCAAGACTGATTCTTTTTTTTTGATCGTTGAAAAAATTTGGAAGACTGAAGCAAACAATTTTGTTTTCTCTCAGGGTTTTTATCTTGCTGCGCTGTCTCTAGCTGGTTGTACTTCCGGGATCACAACACCATTGTTGGTGGCGTATATTTACGAACATTTGGGACCAAGATATGTATTCATTACAATAGCTTCCATTGTATCATTTTGTATAATAGTCTTCACTTGTTTCTATAACAGACTAATACCTTTTGAAGAATACATAAGCAACAGCTAGAATAAAGAAATTATATATCTAAAACTTTGCTAGTTATTTTTTCTGATAGTTTTACTGTTTAAAAATACAACAGGCTCTTTTGTTAACCAAAACTTTCCTGATTTGTCAATTTGTTTGTTGACTATGATAGAATACTGATTCGTTTCTTGAAATAAACTGTTTTCTCCCTTTCTGTCCCCGGCCTTGATTCAGCCTCAATATCCTCTTTGTCAACAGAAACTTTGAAATGATTTATCATGGAAAGATTAATTGCTGTTTTCATTTAATATCATTTTTGTTATCTTTGATGTTTTTTATATTTTTTTCGTTACGTGAATTGGCTCAGTGGCTATAGACCTTTTTCGGGGAACAGCGACCTTCAAAACTTTCATAATAATTTTTTCAGCAACAACGTGTTGTTATTGACAAAGCTTTAAAGTACACATAAATTAAAAGAAATAGTTACAGTAGAATCCCGTTATAACGTACTCGGTTATTACGTACTTTTGGATATAACGTACTGGTGTGCTTGGTCCTGGCAAAAGGTGTGCTTGGTTTTAGTCATTTTTTACTTACCCTCGTTACAACGCACTTCGGATATAACGTACTTAATACGCTGGTCCCTTAAAGTACGTTATAACCAGATTATACTGTACTTGCATAAGGATGATAAATTAAAAAAAAATAGTTACTTGCATAAGGAAGATAAAATTTCAAAACTCAAGAATAAAGTATTTACAAAAAAGTCTTCAATCTTAAGAACGAAGTTTTACTCTTCATTTCGTCCGTTTATTCATTTAAGATCTTTGCTCCTTTAGAGGAAAAGCCTTCTTGCCTGCTTCGGATTTGACTTAAAACAAAACAATATTCTTTGTTTTGGCACATGTTTAATAGTTCGTACCTTTGTCTACAGTTGAGAACTATTAACAAAAAGCAAATTAAAACGATCTCACCCGTTGGTGTGTTGAGAAGACGCGTAGAGAAAATCGAGTTCTGTTTGCTTCAATTCAAGAGAGCTTGCTAACTTGATCTACGATTATTTATACTTTAACTCTAAAAAAAAATCTGCTGACGAAGGATGTGTGGGTATGATGTAATGATGATGTAATGGAGATGGAAAGTTCTAGATTAAGAAACGAGAGAGGCTGTGTAAGCATGGCGCAATGTAGCAATGTAAAGCTGAGATAAACAGTTTAAATTAACAGCACTATAAACAGAGTAAATCTTTATCGCTACAATAGCTCCCCCCCTAGAATGCAAGCGGAGGAGAAGCATTCGATTAATAGATTACAAAAAACAAAACAAAATATTCAAGCTATATAAGAAAATGAACTGTCAATATACGAGTCTATCAGGAAAATGTACTGTTCGTCCGGAGCGGGTAGTGCGGGATGTTGCTTGCATGCAAATGTTCGGAGGTGCTTGTTCAACAGATGCGGAGGAGAGCGCGACCTCGTGATGCAGCGAAGGCAAGATGTCGGTATCAAGGTATGCTACTTTGAGGCGATCAAGACTGATGTTTTCACGCTTGCCCCGTATCTCTAAAGCAAAATGTTTGTCATGGCGGGCGAGAACTTTGTATGGACCAGTGTATGGAGGTTGTAGTGGCTGGCGAACAGCGTCAATGCGTACATAAACATGTGTACAGGTATGGAGGTCTGATGAAATGTGTGATTTTCTAACTTGAAGGCGAGGCGATATTGGCTTGATAGTCTGCATTGCGTGTTCCAGGCGATGAGAATAATTTGTTGGATCAAGGTCTGCTAGTGTAGAGGTTGTTGTGAGAAATTGTCCAGGTAAACGAAGAGTGGTACCATAAACAAGTTGGGCAGGTGTGCAGTTCAAGTCAGCTTTGACAGTGGAACGGATGCCGAGAAGAATGATTGGTAGGAGTTCAGTCCATTTATTTGAATCATGGTGGGCTTTGAGGGAGGCTTTCAGCTGTCGGTGGAAGCGTTCTATCATTCCATTGGAGCATGGATGGTAAGCGGTGGTGCGGATTCGCTTGATGCCAAGGGACTTGGTGAGATGAGAGAACAACGAAGATTCAAACTGGGCACCTCGATCGATTGTTATAGTGGAAGGAACACCAAAGGCAGAGATCCAGTGTGTCACGAGAGCTCGAGCCACGGATTCAGCAGTGATGTCAGTGAGAGGAACTGCTTCAGGCCAACGAGTGAAACGATCAATGATGGTAAGAAGGTATCGAAAACCTTGTGATGGTGGAAGTGGGCCGACAAGATCAATGTGAAGGTGATCAAAACGAGCATCCGGTTGAAGAAACGTTCCAATTGGTGCTGTAGTGTGGCGGTGAATCTTTGCTGCTTGACACTGATTGCAGGAACGTGACCAGTTCCGGACATCTTTATTGATGCTAGGCCAGACGAATCTTTCTGTGATGAGCTTCTGGGATGCACGTATACCAGGGTGTGAAAGATTATGGAGCTGATCGAAGATGTGACGGCGATAAGAAAGTGGTACATAAGGACGAGGTGTGGATGTAGACATGTCGCAAAGTATAGTACCAGCATTCGATGGCAAGGTAACATCTTGCAGGCAGAGGGAAGAAGATGACTTTAAGGAAACCATTTCTGGATCGTTTTGTTGAGCTTCTGCCAGGAGAGTGAAGTCGAGTGGTGACGAGGTATAAACCGCGTTAAGGTCCAGGCGAGATAATGCATCAGCGACGGGGTTGTCATTTCCTTTGACGTGGCGTATGTCAGAGGTGAACTGTGAAATGTAGTCGAGATGGCGGGTTTCGCGTGGTGAATATCGGTCCGATGAAGAGGCTAAAGCATGGGTGAGTGGTTTATGGTCTGTTAGCACGTGAAATTTACGTCCTTCTAGGAAATGACGAAAATGGCGAATGGCGCGATATATCGCAAGTAGCTCACGACTGAAAGTACTGTATTTTACTTCGGATGGCTGCAAACGTTTAGAGAAGAAGGATATAGGTTGCCAGATACCCTGTCTCTGTTGCTGGAGGACACCGCCAACTGCATTTTTAGAGGCGTCAATCATCAGGCAATAAGAAGCATCTGGAAACGGATGAGTGAGGAGAGTTGCTTTGGCAAGTGTTGTTTTGATGGCATCAAAAGCAGCTAAGGCGTCAGCGTTGAGATGAAATTTGTTTCTGTTGTGTTGGCGTGACAACAAGTCAGTTAATGGTTGTAGAATATCGGCACATTGAGGAATGAAACGTCGATAAAAATTGACGAGGCCCAAGAATGCACGCAGTTGACGAGTGGACTGTGGTGGAGGAAAGTCTGTTATGGCTTGAACTTTGGTTGGTAAAGGTGAAATGCCTTCTGGTGAGATGTGATGACCAAGGAAGTCTAAGGAGGTGGAGCCAAAAATGCATTTGGAAGGGTTGAGAACGACACCATATTCGGAAAGACGGGTAAAGAGAAGTTCCAGGTGCTGGAGATGTTCCGATTCAGACGAACTGGCAATTAGAAGGTCGTCGATGTGCGCATAAACGAAATCGAGGCCACGTAGAACTTCGTCAATGAATCTTTGAAATGTCTGAGCAGCGTTACGTAGACCGAAAGGCATTCGAAGAAATTCATACAGTCCAAAAGGTGTCGAAATGGCAGTTTTGGATACATCTTCTGGATGGACAGGAATTTGGTGATAAGCACGTACCAAGTCGATTTTGGAGAATATGGTTTTGCCGTAGAGTGAAGAGGAAAAATCTTGTATGTGAGGAATGGGGTAGCGATCAGGTACTGTTACATTGTTCAAACCACGATAGTCTCCACAGGGACGCCAGTCACCAGATGTGGGCTTTGGAACCATATGAAGGGGCGAGGACCAGCTCCTGTCAGAGGGGCGAATGATGCCAAGCTGGAGCATATGGTCGAATTCGGCTTTTGGAATCTTCAAGCGGTCAGGAGCTAGGCGTCGTGGACGACAGAAAACTGGTGGGCCAGTTGTGCGAATGTGATGAGTGACTGAATGCTTGATAGTAGCTTCGTTGTAGGAGGGACGGGTTATATCCGGAAATCTCTTGAGCAGCGAGCTGTATGGTGTTGCAGCTGGAAAACAAAACACAGGGCTGGGTGAGGATGCTGAAGAAGAAATACCACGAATACTGAGGCTGGTAGTAGTGTCGATGAGGGTGCGATTACGAACATCAACCTTGAGTCCATAGTGGGCAAGGAAATCAGCACCAAGAATTGGCGTTGGAATGTCAGCAATGAATATCCATCTGTACGTACGGCGAAGGCCGAGATCTAATGTCATAGATTTTTCACCATAAGTGGAGATGGTGGATTGGTTGACAGCTTGGAGAATTAATAAAGAAAGATGACGTTTTTCAGCAGGACTTGGAGGAAAAA